GCCTTCCCGGCACCTCCAGACCACACACCAGTGATTATATCTAAGAGCAACTGCAGTTGCTCTGGTCCTTCACACACCCGTCCCATTCAGGCCCCGGCCCAACCAGCTGTCCGCTGGCCTCATCCCCCACGTCCTGCCCACACCAGACCACAGGCCCACCCGGCCCAGTCTCCCACCTTCAGCGGCACAGATCCGGTCTCCCGCCTCCTGCCTGCACCAGAACAGAGCTCCTCTAGCCTGCTGCCCTGCCTCGCACGGGACCATTTAACCCTGTAAAAGCAGCTGCAGGACACACACCGCGTCAACAGAGGAGACACTCAGTCCATCCCCGCACGCCCGAGAAACTGCCCACCCAGTCCCCGCTAAGTGAGCTGGAGGGAGGTGACAGTGGAAAGCAGGAGACTGGGGCTACTAAGCACCCAAACCCAGAGGGAAGGGAACCTGGAGTACAAAAGTGTCCCGTGAGTTAGTGGGTGATACCACAGGTGGCATCTCCCGGGTGCAGGATTCGGAGACTCAGACCACCAGAGGCGACAAACACTCTGGCCACAGGCAGGGTCTCTGTCCGGGACCAGGCTTCTCACACAGGGTGGTCCCCGGGAAGCCAGCGCCTGGTCTGCTACATCACTGAGACGGAAGGCTGGCGGTGGGGGCAACACCGCACCCTACGAGGCTGGCTGGAATAGGGGGACTTCTCGGACCCCACTCACATAGCCTATCCCTTCTTGCCACGTTCTTTAATATATTTTTATTAATTTCAAAGAGGAAGGGAGAGGAAGAGAGAGATAGAAACATCAATGATGAGAGGGAATCATTGATTGACTGCCTCCTGCACACCCCCCCCACCAGGGACTGAGCCCGCAATCCCGGCATGTGCCCTTGACCGGAATCGAACCCAGGACCCTTCAGTCCTCAGGCCGATACTCTGTCCACTGAGCCAAACCGGCTAGGGCCTTGCCACATTCTGGGAAGACTTCTTCCAGTCTGAGAAAGGAGGGGAACTGCACCGACAGAAACTTCAGTATAAGAAAGGTGGTTAGGGAGTAGCAAAGGGGACAGTAAGAAAATGAAAACCCGAGAGAACGTATTCTGTAGCCACGGGATTCAATCCTTCCTTCCCCTCCCTCCACCTTTTTCCCATCTCCCTGTCACACTGTTTCCCGGCTCCCCATCCAGTCGCGCCTGGCTCTCATGTTCCGCACTCACATCCGCACTGCAGTATTCCTAAGAATAACTTCTACATCACCAAGGCTGCCCCTCCCAGCTGGGCAGGGAGAAGGCAGCCAGCCCGGCCACCACCCTGCTGGCTCAGCGTGCAGCCCAGACAGAGCACAGCCTTTTTGGTTCCCTGCTGCCCAAGTCCTTCCCCTTATATATTGTCTTATACAAGATCCTTATCTTTCCTGGCCTTGTTTTCTTCATCTGTAACATAAAGGCTTGGGAAGTGGTACCCTCGGGCGCCTGGAGTCCATGAGTCCCTGGAGGGAGAAGGCAAGACTGACAAAGGGACATTAACCCTGGACACCATGCATCAGGAAGGGGGGGGAAGCATTGTTTGATAGCGAATTCAACAAATTCAGGTGGAAACTTAAGTAAGGAAGTTATGTAAGGATTAGGGTTAATAAAATCGTACAGGGTAAAAAAAAAATAAAAAAAGAAATCGTGGAAGCTCACTAGAATTCTATTTACACTCCAGTCAGACTTTTCCACAAATAGGTTCATTTTGACCTCCGTTCAAATCTGTCCTAAGGACGTTCCCTTAATATGTAGGATTTGAGCAATTTCTGTGTGTTCTGTTTACCAACCACCTCTCTGCCAGATAAACGGTATCCCTGAGTCAAGTGAGGAAGCGGGGGCCATTCCTGTCCGGGGAAAACTGAGGCCAGGAAAGAGAACCACCCCCCTCCCCGCCCCCCCAAGGTCACACAAGGAAGGGGAACTGAAAGTAGAGCCCAGGAGGCTCCAGCTCCCTCCCAGTTCAGTGTTCAAGCTCTGGCCAGGCCTCGCGGGCTACAGACAGGAGCTACAGTGTTGCTATAAAGAGAACAGAATGAGGGCAGGGGATCTGGGGGGGAGGATGAGTAACTGGCAGTGTCAGTACCATACAGCTAAGCTGCGGGGCCCTCTGCACAGCAGCCTGCTGCAGAGTGATGAGCTCATCAGTCCCCAAGGAATAACTCTTTGCTGCCTGGACAGCTGGACCAAGGACAGACACTCTTTCAGTTAAAAAAAAAAATGGCCCTAAGAACAGCAGTTGTTCCTGTGGTTGTAGATGGATTCCAGAACTGTCCGTGTTGCACTGCTCACTGTGTTAATGAACTCGGGCTGGGACTGGGTCTGGGTGGCATCTGAATGATGACTTTAGGATAACCAGGATTCCTAAAGACACTCATAACATGGCCCACAACTAAGGAAGCCAGTATGAGGACAAAACTCAGCCTCAGAAAGCATGCTGATCTGTGATCGCCTAGACTCCCGCAGGTTACAGATGCCTGCAGGTCCTCCCTGGGTAACTTCCCAGAACATTCAGCCAATCCCCACCTGACAAATCTCTGCTACTCAGCTGCAAGGGTAGTTCCCGGGCCTGCCCACTAGGGGTCAGAGTAGCTAATTAGAAGGTTACACCTGGAGGCCCCCAAACCAAAGTCAGTCACCTTCCTCCTTGACCATGGCATCAGGCTGGCTGCCCTGGTGCTCCTGTCCCAACAGCCTGCTAATCAACCCTCTAGGGCAGCCACTTGGCACACAGCCAGCGCTCTAGCATGGCATCCCTTCACCTGGCCTTTTGTGCTACCCTGCCAGGTTCCCCGCAAAAAGCCGAATAAATCTTCATCCTCAGAAGGTACCGAGCCTGCCCCCAGCTGCCGTATATTCACAGGGAGTGTATTCACAGGGAGTGTATTCACAGGGAGTGTCCACGTTCCCAACTTTCTCCTCCCGGCTCCTCTGCTGACTGTTCTCCGTGCCTCCGCCCTGGCTCTGCACTTTCAGATTCCTCATCTCCCACTAGCCCTACAACTACCAGTCCCTCCCCTTTCCCTAGGGAGCTCCCATGACTCCTTCTTGCCCCATGTTTTTGACCTCCTCCAAGCAATGCTCTGCTGTCCCTGAGCCTCTAAACCAGCGCAGGGACCCAGCCTCCATTCCCAGCACTGCTTGGGAAGCTCTGGGCAGTGGCAGGATCACCCACCGCACCGGGCAGCCCTCCCTGGCCACTCCCTTCTAATTTCACATTAGACTCCCAACTGAAGCTGCTGCCTCTTACTTTCCATCAGTGTGTGGAGCTTATATCACAAAACCTCCCGAGGGCTGAGACTGACGGGGATAAGCAGTACCCCAGATGTGACTTCGCAGACCCCTGTCCCTTTCACACCTCACGAAACCCCAGCTACACCCTCCTCCAAACATTGCAGCCTAGAGGAGACAGACAGACAGACAAGTCAGAAGCAATCGATGAACTCCCCTCAGTATCCCACTCCCGGGCTCCTTCTTGTCACGGGTCTGACTTCTGCATTCTTGTGGATCGTCTTCCGGGAGCCAATGCCACCCAGCCACTCCCAAGCTTAACACAGCAGCAACTTACTCTGGTGTTAGTCCTGCCTGGTTCTGGGGCCCCAGCTGCCCTCCTCCCCGCACCTCGCCCTGGCCGAGTGTGGCAGGACCCTAGGCCAGCCCCCGCCGGCCCGTCCCCATTCCTACCTCCGCTTGTACTCGTCCCGCTCGCGCTTCACCTTGGCCAGCACGTTGTAGAGGGCGCGGATCTCGGGGGTGATGGTGTCGATCTGGACGCCCACCCCGTCGGGGTGCACCCACGACAGGCCAGGCCCCTGCACCAGCATGGGCTCCAGTCCCGGGCCGAGCCGGCGGGCGTGGGAGA